ACGCCACCCCACCTTAGCCAACATAGCTAAGTTAAAAGTAATAATCTCCTTAAAGTCGATTCCTCTTAAAGACTTCTTTTTGTGCAACATTATTCCAAGCAATCTAATGAATTCCTTTATCTATCTTCCGATCGCTCCACTAAAATCATGCAATAATTTGCTCAATCTCCTTTGCCAATTAGATTGGCAATTGGAAACATGACATAGTATAAATAGGTAAAGCTGCCGCTACACTTTTAATCAATACCTCTTTCCCTGTAACTGACAAAAACTGTTCTGCCCATCCATTGATTCTCTCATCCAATCTATTTTGTACATCTTCAAAAACCTTCTTTTTTGAGACCCCAAAATCCCCATAAATATCCAAATTTTTGCCAAATCCTTCCTAATGTCTAATCCCCAACACCTGCGATAATTGATCTTTCAACCCCTACGAACAACCCTCACTAAAATGGACCGAACTCATGTCCAAATTAATGAACTGCCTGGACCCCTAGGCATACCGTTGGAGCAAACATTTAACATTATGAGCCTCTAACTTCGTAGCTCTACAAAATAAAACTGAATCATCCGCAAAAAAAACATGTGATAAGGGCTCGGCAAAGGCATTCACTGATATCCTCCGAAAGTGTCGAACCCTCTCCTCATTATGAATTAGGGATGAAAAACCCTCAACACAAATTAGGAATAGAAAAGGCGACAACGGATCCCTTTGCCAGAGTCCCCTACTAGGTGTGATATAACATGTTGCCTCACCATTAACTACGACATTATAGGACACGGTTTGCACACACTCCATCACCTACTGGCAAAAAATATCATCAAATCCCAATTTGTACAACATAGCATTCAAAAAGGACCATTCAACACGATCACAAGCTTTTGCCATGTCCAATTTCATCGCCATAAAGTTAACACCGTCCTCATTGCCATGTTGCATAGAGTGTAAGAGTTCATGAACCACCAAATATTATCAGAAATTTGCCTTCCCGCCACAAACGCCGATTGATTATGACTAATCACTTTAGGGAGAACTCTCTTCAACAGATTCGTTAGAACTTTGGAAATAATTTTATACACCATATTACATAACGAAATCGGCCAAAATTGGGACATTTTTGTTGGGTTATCCACTTTAGGAATGAGCATAATATTAGTATGATTAAACTTTTTTAACATTCTCCTCGAGCAAAAGAAAGATTTAACAATACCCATAACCACACCTCCGACCGCCACCTAATAATGATGGAAGAATCCTGCATTAAACCCATCCAGACTCGGTGATTTCGTTGGGTGCATCTGATATATAGCAGTTTCAATCTCTGCATAAGTCACCGGAGCAATTAATAAATTATTCTCCATATCCCCTACCCTACTTGGCACGCACGGCTGGATCCCATAAAACTAGCAGGCCGATCTGTGGAGAACAAAGATTGGAAATAACCAACTGCAATGCCATGGATTCGATGCCTATTTGTACACCATGTCCCATCCTCATTTTCTATCCCACGAATAACATTCATTTGTCTTCGCTTCAAAGTTTACGCATGGAATAACCTAGTATTTTTATCACCTTCACGTAACAACTATACTCGATACTTCGTGCGCCAATAGACTTATTCTCTTCTAATTGCCCGTGTAAGATCCTCTTCCAACTCTCGAATCCGTTGGCCATCAAACACAGGTTGTTGATACGCATAGCGGATGACTTTTTTCAAGCGGAAAATCTCATTTTGTTCATTACACCCCTCATTTTTCCACCACATCACCAAGCCGTGTTTAACCTTCCGCAAGTTATTCACCAGGTTATATGCAAGAGTACCACCGAAAGCATTACCCCAACATGCATTACCACCTCATCGCACCTTGCATCCTGATTTCATTGTGGATCATACATGAACATTTTCTTTCATCGGGGTTGATCCACATCTGTTGAGAGCACTAACATTGCATGGTCCGACCCTTTAAACACCACATGTTTTACAACCGCTTGCTGATAACATTGGACCCATTCGTTTGTAGCAAGAGCACGATCAATCATTTCCTGGATAAAACCTTCCTTACGTATATTCCTTCACGTATACGAGTAACCTTCAAACCCAAATATTAATAAGCGTGCATGTGCCACAAAAGTCCAAAACACCGCATACTGGCAACTGTTCATCCATTGCCCCCCGCATTATCCAATTCTAATAATAAATTATTGAAATCACCCATCAACATACATGGTTCAGGGTAGCAAGCAATACACTCCGCTAGCACACCCAGTTGTTGTACCTGTTTACACTCATCAGTACTCGCATAAACAACCACCAGTCGCCATCTATAATGCCGCACCCCATCCTTAATCAGGACCTCAATGAAAAAATCACCATAGTTCACCAAAACCACATCTTGGGCATCCCTCCAAAACCAAAACACACACATACCATCTGCAATTCCCCTAGGCTCAATAGCATGCATACATGATATTCTGAGCCTACGTTTCAAGTAACGATACCTTCGACTATTATTTTTAGTTTCTAATAAAGCCACAACCTCAGTAGAGTCGATTTTGCTCTAAGAGATCGTCAATTGTCAGGTCCCTCCCCCCGGATACCCTGACAGTTCCAACATATGATTTTCATTGCGATCGTGGAAACCCCTGGTAGGTGGCCTCTGCTTGGTCCATTCCAAACCTTTGGATCTTGTTCACAAGGGTCAAACCTTCTTCGAACACCTCCAGCTCCTCACCATCTTCCTCACGGTTCATTTTCATTTCTCCCTGCGAGACAGCCTCAATGATAAGAAGAAGATTGAATAGATCCGAATCCTGAGACAATAAACTGGCCCCCAAATCTCCATGTGCACCGTCCTTCTTAGGAGCCATTTCAGACACATCATCGTGCATTTCTATAATTGGCATATTAAGATTAATCTCACGACTTGGCTGCAATACCTTAGTATTGTCCCCATTAGCTACAACCTCTTATGGATGATTCACTAACTCTATCATCCCTTCTCCAGGTGCAATGGAACCTCTTAGACCAATGAGCCCTGCATCAAAGGCTCTATCCTGCTACAACCATTGTCGTTCCTTCTCCTTTGCCTCCAAAGCACGTCTTCTGCTTAGGTCACCCTTTTCCAAGCTTTCATGGCACCTCCAATTAGATAAGGAGGACGAACCACTCTGCCCCCTTGTTCCCTTTTACCCATATTCTCTCCTCACGAGCCAATTCCCTTTCAGATCATACTCTACATCAAGCCCCTTAAACGTATATAACGCTTCTGTGTCAACCTCAGATGCCTCATCACCAAGTCATTCAGCCTTAGACTACCTAGTGGCATGCCCCACCTTGCCACAAATAAGACAGTAGCCGGGTAACCCCTCATAGCGAAAATTTATCCAGATTGTCTCATCATCAAGGAACTCCACATTTGCTCTTCGCATAAGCGGCTCCCGAACATCAAAAGAGATCTTCACACATAAAAAATGACCAATACAATCCTTACCATCATCCTTGTCCACCTTAACGACTTTACCGATCAAGCTTCCTATTGCCAGAGCAACAGCCTCTGTCATATTAAGCAGAGGAACATTATGCAATTGCACCCACATTGTTACCAAGTAAAGAGGTTCAGCCCATTGATCATGACAAGCTCCATCAACAACCAAAACTATATCATACCAAAACAACCATGGCTTCTCCGCCTCTAGTACAGGGCACATGTCCCGATGGCCTACAAAACGAGCCATGAACCGAGCCCAACCCAAAGCCCTAATAGAAACCCCATCCATTATTCTCCACATACTCTTAAATTGGTCAATAAACGTATTCTCATTAACAGGTTTCTTCGAAAATACCTCCGCCACAACACTATAATGGAACCCCAAATGTGCGCCCTCCACAACCTTCTTCTCAATCTTGACCCCCACCCTTCTCCTTCTCCGACAAGGAAATACTGGTTCCAAATTTCATTGCCAAACCCTCCATATTTTGCATTCTTGCCATTTCCACCTCCACAAACCCTAACCCTAAGACTTCATGCACATATAAAACATACACCAACACCCTCACGCAGACCCTTTACTTCAACCTTCCCATTCGCAAGTAGCCCAATTGCCTTTGTCACAAGTTCCTTAAGCTCGCCATCGTCCCTACCTTAGGGTTTCATATGCAAATCGCCAATCCCCTTAGCTCCAACTTTCTTGGACATAACCTAGAAAAATATTTAAATTGGCTACTCTTATTAGAGAAAGTTAGAATGCCCCATTCCGTTTCTACAATTTTTTATTAAACATTTGTGTCTTTTAAAGATTTGATTAAGACGCTTTGACTAGTGGCCACCTAAGTATTTTTAAATTTATTTTAATTAGTTTTTTTTTCTAAATGAAAAATGTTATATGTTGATTTCCCACTTAATCTTTTTAGTTAATAGAGGTTTTTTGGCGTGTCAGAATCTATGCCCCTTTTTTAGGGATGTTGGATAATTAATAGATATTAACTATTAAATCATCAATATTATCTCTTAATTTTTGAATTTTTAACATTTATTTTTCTATAATAAAACTTCATTGATCACGGAAAAAACTTACATCAGCAAAAAGAATGGAGATAGCCAATCCAACATGATGAAAACACCATAGATGCTACATTTATCTTGTTGAGTTCTAGTTTTATTGCATGGTTATGTAGTATGCAACAGAAAACAAGTGATTTTAAAATATTGTAGCACAATATAATTTGCATAAAAGTTGTTGACAAAAGGGATTAGTTGGAATGAGATTAATGTCATTCAGCATGAGATATATGAATGTGAATTTTAAATTGAAACCAAATTTAAATATATTAATTTCTAATTTGAATTGTACTCATGCCATGTTGAAATGTACTAATATGTCTTGAAACGTACTGATACCAAATTGAAATGTACCAATACTAATAGGATACATACCCATGCCAACTTATAATGTACAAACATATCGTCTAGAAATGTACCCATGCCAAATTGAAACGTACTGAAGTACCCATGTCACAGCCCGTCCCGGAATTTTAATTCCGAGGACGTGAAAAGACCAAAATGCCCTTAAGCGGAACTAAGGGGCGAAAATTTAACAATTGGATTTACATTAGTATGTTTAAAGTTGTGTTTGGACTTAGGTAGGGCCTCCTACCCTCAAAACATTCCCTAAAACCCGTAACCTTTCCTTCTCTCTCTTTTTCTTCTTTCATCTCAGAAAACTCTCTCACTCTCTCTCTTACTCTCGAACATACGGACTCACACCCAACCTCAATCAAACCTCTACGAACGTTCCATTTAAGACCACCATCGTGATCCTGAGGACTTCACGAGCTCGGGGATACCAAACTCAGGTGAGTTTCACTTCGGAAAACCCTAGTTTCAGTGTCACCGTAATATTGCACTGTTCACGAACTTCAAATTGGCTTTTTTTTTAGGCCAAACCAAGCTCACAGTGAGCTTAAGGAAGTCCCAAGGAAGCTCGGAGTGCTTCGTTGGAAGTTTTTGGACGTAAGAACACGGAGATCGACAAGTTCAAAGTTTGGCCGGAGCTTTCGAGGCTCTTTCCGGCGAATACCCGGCGAGTTAAGAGTTGAGGTAGGTATCAATCTCTTCGTCTCGTCAAGTAATACAACTTTCCTTTTTGTTTCACTCAATTTAGTTGAGTATTGAAGAAGTTATACTCATTTGAAAAATACCCAGTTTCCGGCGACCTCCGAGGCTTTCGAGGCAGTTTCCGGCCAAACCACGGCGAACTAGGTGTTTTGAAAGGTACCATTCTCTTTGTCTCTTCAAGGGCTACAACTTTCGTTTTTGAATCACTTGATTTCGTTGAGAAATGACAAAGTTATGGCAATTTGAAAAACGGCCGCCGGAAAAACCAGTCCGGCGACCCAAGGAAGAAGATGATGCGCGTGGGGGCGCGTGGACCCGTGCCTTCCTTGGCGCGTGGGGGCGCGTGCTACAGTAAAAAAATATTTTAAAAATATGTCGACGTCCGTGACGTCGAGTAGATCACTGTGGTATATTCATATACCCAATTTGAGCACCGTATGAGAAAGTTATTAAGGATTGTTGGTTAGGTGTTCGAATAACGTTTTATAGTTTTGGTGAAAATGTGAATTGATGATCCGACCGTTGGATCGTCACCAAACTTTGATACGTTGTAATACGTAATATTTGAGGATTATAGGAACTTACGGATTGGGAATCCGATTTACGGATCTTCCGGAATTGGAGTTGTAAGTCCATAATATAAAATGTAACCGTCACTTAGTTTTGGAAATTGACGGAGATCCGACCGTTGGATGGTAATGAAATTTTAGGATGTTATCCTAGAGATATATTGTGGACCTCTGGAAGTTATGGATTTAAAATCTGAGTGGCAGATCTTCCGGATCGATCTACGTAGGGACGTATTTTATATAAGTTATATATTCTATCGATATGAATTCTGAGGTTGGATTTGATTACTATTCTAGGCGGCGATCGTCGTGACGCCTTGATGTGTGGTGCTAGGGAGTTGTTGGATGAACTCCAGGTGAGTGGGCAGTTTTGTTTTCCGTATATATATATACTTGACGTTTCCCAGAAATTGAATTGAAATGAAAATATGTTTAAAATGAAATGCATATGAGTTATGTGGAAAAACGGGAAGTGAAATACCATGCATAGAATTGATATGAAAAGTATATAGAAATGTGAGTTGAAATGCCATGCATGAATTAATATATGATGCATATGTATGAATTGGTGCGGTGGACGCACATGTAAGAATTGATTTATGATGCATATGTATGAATTGGTGCGGTGGACGCACAGGTAAGAATTGATATGATGCATATGTATGAAATGGTGCGATGGACGCACAGGTGAGTAGTTATTTCTGTTATGATGATGTTGATGTATATTGAGCTCAAATCCTGCACCATAGTTTAGTGCTTATAGTATTCACCGCATCGCACGCTCGCCTTGGATCCAAGTAGATGCTAGTCGTACAGTCCACGCGGAGTGGGTACGACAGGCCAGTCGCGAGAGTGTTAGTGAGATTCCGACTGGTGGGTAACCTTAGATTATGTGCACAGATGATTTATGAGAAGCACTAGAGCGTAACTTATGTGCAGAAGGCCGTACAGGTCACGCGGAGTGACTCCGGCAGAGTGTGAGAGTGATAGATTTTGAGCTCTAGGTTCAACCGTACAGGGCTATTAGAGGGCCTCCGGTTGATTACTTTATTGCACCTGATATGATTTATGTTGATGCATTCATACCTTATTACTGTTGAGATGATGTGGCATGGCATAATTAATATGAGAAATGTTGAGATGATGTGGCATGGCATAATTATGATGAAAATGTTGAGTTAATGAATTGAAGTATTGAGAATATATATATGTATATTTATATTTTATATTTCTGGGAAAGTATACAGGTTTTACGGAGAGGGGTTACAACGTTTTGAGAAATGTTTGGATTTGGAAAAGAATTGTTTTACTGACCCACTCAATTTTGGTTTTGCGCCCCTCCAGGTTCAGGAATCACAAAGGTGTGGTGACTACGAGGAATTTGACGGTGTTCTGACAGATTGGACAAAATTAGGACTCACCTTCGGGTGTATCAACTTATAAATTGTATCTTAAAGCTTCCGTACTGTGTAAATGGTTACGTCACTCTCACGTGATGGCCAGCATGCCCTCTTTCGGGACGGGGTGTGTCAACCCATGCCAACTTAAAATGTACCAACATATCGGCTAGAAACGTGCCAATACTAAATAGAAACATACCCCATATCATCTACCACTAGAATCTATTTTCCAAGAATGATCATGAAAGAAGAACATAAATATATATCACGTTAGAAGCATAAATAAATCAAATTTGATATGTTTTTAGATTTTTAAAACATATGTCTACTAGATTCTAGGAGATTTGGATAATTATTAGCTAATTGGTACATTATATATATGGCAAATTGTGTAATTTTGCATTAAAAATGATACTATAATATATTTGCCACCTAAAATGTAGGAAAATGTTTAATAAAAATCTAAAAAGTATAGATGTTTAATCTAACAAATAGAACAATGAGACATTTAAATCTAAACGCCCCTTGTTTTAATTTTCTTTTGGCTTTTTAGCCAAAATGGTCCCTGAGATTTGCATAACACATAACTTGGGTCCCTGAGATTGAAAATCAATAGAAATGGTCACTGAAATTGTCCACCATCCATTATTTTGGTCATTCTGTTAAAAACTCCGTTAAGTATCCCAGAGCTCTTGGCTTAAAGTTTGGGCAATTTTCAAAACTTCGTAACTCAATCATTTCTAACCAAATTCGACCCATAATATATCAAATGAAGATAGGAAAGTGTAGAACAAGATTATACTATTTAGAAGCCCAATGGTTATAGGAGATGGCCAGAAAATAACCTGAAAGTTGACTGGTCCGCGAGAAAACTGGAAAACTCGCCGGAAACTGGGTAAACTTTAAACATTCATAACTTCTTCAATACTCAACAAAATCGAGTAATTTAAAAACAAAAATCATACTTCTCAACTAGACAAAGAGAATGGTACTTTCTTGATGGCTAATTCGCCATGGTTTGGCCGGAACACAACTCGAAAGTGGCTAACTCGAGACCAAGATAGCCACTTTTGAGCCGTTTTCCGGCCAAACCACGGATATTTAGCCATAAAGAAATGTACCATTCTCTTTGTCTCGTCGAGAAGTATGATTTTCATTTTTTGAATCACTCGATTTCGTTGAGTATTGAAGAAGTTATGAACGTTTAAAGTTTACCCAGTTTCCGGCGAGTTTTCCAGTTTTCCCGCGGACCAGTCACATTTTAGGCTATTTTTCAGCTATCTCCGACAACCATTGGGCTTCCAAATAGGTATAATTTTTTTCTACACCTTTCTATCTTCATTTTGATATATTATGGGTCGAATTTGGTTAAGAAACGATTGAGTTACAAATTTTTGAAAATTGCCCAAACTTTCGGCCAAGAGCTCTGAGACACTTAACAGAGTTTTTAAGGGAATGATCAAAATAATGGATGGTGGACAATCTCAAGGACCATTTCTATTGATTTTCAATCTCAGGGACCAAAGTGATGTGTTATGCAAATCTCATGGACCATTTTGGTTAAAAAACCTTTTTCTTTTGTCAAGTGTCTTCAGTAATGTTGTGTTTTCGAACAATTGAGGTTGCAAGTTGAGGGGCATGCACTATCTAGGTTTCCAATTTTCATACGCATTGTCATTGTGCTTCGTGAATAATTTGGGTGGACAAGGCAAGTGGCGGTGTAATCTTCCACTGAAATGTACTTCATGAATAGTATTCTTTTTAATGGTAAATTAAGGATAATAACTCAACTACTTGGTAAGGTAGGTAACAAAAGTGTCCATTTTCCTGCTATACTTGTGGAGCAAAAAATAATCTAAAAAATTCTGGAGGCGACACGTGGACTTTTAACCAAAAAAGATGAGATTACCTTTATTAAATAAGCAAGGCATCCCACACGCAACTCAGCATCCTAGGACATGCACGCAGAGCTTCTCCGCGTGTGGAAAAAGTTAAAGGTATTTAATGGTAAGATTATCCCTAAATCATATCATTAATACATTTCCAATTGAAGACAAACCTTATAAAGTAAGTAATCCTAGTCATTCACATTTATTCTGGGATAATTACCATTATTTCCAAGATATTATTTACACAATATCTTGGGAATATTCTCATCGAAACCTACCCTAAATACCCTATCTCCTCTATAAATACCCTATTTCTCCACAAAAAAATGATAGAGCTTTTTTTATACACATAAAACCCTAAATACTCACTTTTAGACATCGGAGATCCATTGGCCAAACCCTCTCCCCACTCATCGTGGGCGTGTGAAGCTTCGAGTATTTGATCAAAGGTGTTGATTTGTGAAGAAAGATGGAAATTTGCATCGACAATACTATATTGAACAAGTCCGTCCATAAACTAGAGACTGCATGCATGCCAAAAATGAAAGTCATTGGATATGTTATTAGATTACCCATCCTCTTGTATGGTGAGTAGCTAGGGTGCGGAATACCAGGTATATCTCTTTTTTATTTTAATTTTATTTTTTGTTTTTATTTTTGTTTTTTTGAGTACAATGATATATTTTGCATTAAGAGTAGAGGGGGTAGTTCGGGTAAGCCACACAATGAGCAACCTAATTTGATATTAAATTCGCTATCTACGAGATTCAAATATAAGATCTTTCACTTACAAGTGAAGAGCAATATGAGCTTCTTCTAAAACTCAGTGTCTAGCTAGCTAGGAATAATTGACCCCCTAAAAATGGAAGCTACTTAATCGACCAAGAAAAGTAAACCCTAAAAAAAGTTTGGTATACAAATAAGCATGCCCATCCCCATGGCGATGCCCGCTTATATTCTCCTTCCTTGTATCCCTCTAATTAATTAGGTTGCACGCTTAGTACTTCGCTCACAGCATGTGTCACAGGGCGGAGGAGTCCCAAAGTCACAATAATAATAAGATTTGTACAGGGTAATATCTTTGACAAATAATATATAATGGTTAGTGTTCTTTACACTCTCCAATATTTGTATTCCTGCACTCATCTTAAGCAAAATTATTAGGTGACTGATGACATCGGGTACGTACTTAATGTCCGGGTGTTAGACCTATTCCTAATAAATAAGGCATGTTATTGGAACAACGTCATGTAGTAAAACTAATCTATGTGCTATAACCAGTG